GTGCACAAGTGAAAAATGTTGGAGAGGTGTAGAGAAAAGGAAACCCTCCTGTTGGTGGGAATTTAATTTGCTCCAGTCACAATGGGAAACAATATGGAGAATCCTTAAAAAATGAAAAATAGACTTACCATATGATCCAGTCTTCCCAATCCTGGGCATATATATTGAGAAACTCTAATTTGAAAACATACATGTATCCCAATGTTCATAGCAGCACTATTTACAATAGCCAAGAGATGGAAACAACCTAAATGTCCATCAACTGATTATATATATACATATTATATATATTATATATTATATATTTATATATATATACACACACAATGGAATACTACTCCACCATAAAAAGAATGAAATAATGGCATTTTCAGCAACATGGGTGAACCCAGACATTATCATACTAAGTGAAGTAAGTCAGAGAAAGACAAATATATGATATCATTTATATGTGGAATCTAAAAAAATAAAATAAAAAGGACACAAATGAACTTATTTACAAAACAGAAAGAGACTCACAGACATAGAAAACAAACTTATGGTTACCAAAGGGAAAGGAGGGAGGAATAAATTAGGAGTTTGGGATTAGCAGATGTTTTATAAAATAGATAAAAAAACAACATCCTACAGCATAGCACAGGGAACTATATTTAATATTTTGTAATAATAATGTAAAAGAATATGAAAAAGTATACATAAATGTATAACTGAATCAGTATGCTGAATATCAGAAACTAACACAGCAGTGTGAGTCAACTATACTTCAATTAAAAAAATAGATTCTAAGAACATCTGAAAATGTCAGTGACAGCAATTATGAGGGGCCTGTATTGACTTTGTGTTGACTGAGGAATTTGATGACAGATCCAACGATTGGTCAGATTGCCTCCAGTAGCAGTATTTTGTGACTACTTATGTCAAGAATTTTCCTTCCATTTTAACACTAGGGTAAAACCACAGATAGAAATAAAACAATAACTTCCGATTTGACAGAGATAGACATTGAGTAATCAGCACAACTGAATTAGGATAGTCTTACAGGCCTGGTTAGCTGCCTGCTCCTGTGTTAGCTTCTTCTCTTCCCAGCCTGGTGGTGCCTGGTGACGCTTGTCTTAGTTGAAGCCAGGTGTTAGAAACGGGGGTTGAAGTCCGTTGAGGTGGAGGTGCTTTTTTAAAACGAGGGATAGGAATTTATGTCTTTCAATTTGGCTGCACATGGATCAGTTAATAATACCTGATAAGTTTCTTTTCATCACAGCTGCAAAGAATCCTTTGCTTAATGTCCTTGCCAACAAACAAAATCTCTAATTTTCAATTCATAATCCTTAAGGCTTAAATCTCCTGGGAGCTGGCTGTAAAAGGAGTTAATTACTGTTTTTCCCCCAAGTACCTCAATAATATCCTGACAATAATGTAATACGTTTCCCTTGAACACTGTGTGTGAAAGTTTCCAAAAATATTCTTTTTCCCCCCAAAAAATTTCTCAGGTGGGAAAATGACTTAGAGAATATACATGCTGGAGTAACAGCCATTGTACTCCAAAAGACACTTTGGTTTTTTTTTAATCGTCTAAATTGTGTTTGTGTGGTGGGATCAAAAATCCCCGCTTTTTGTTGCTGTATTTGTTTCTCTTTTTTGATGGTGATTTCTTGAGCCTGAAGAAGGGAATATTTTTATTTTTAAATTGAGGTATAGTCAGTTACAACATGTCAATTTCTGGTGTACAGCACAATGTCCCAGTCATGCATATACATACATATATATATATTTGTTTTCATATTCTTTTTCATTATAGGTTACTACATGATATTGAATATAGTTCCCTGTGCCATACAGGAGAAATTTATTTATCTATTCTGGAAACCTTTTCCTGGGTTAGCAGGGTTAATGCGGTGGAGTGGCCATTCCTCAGGCTGGGCAGGATGAATAATTACACCTGCCTTTTTGGCTGCAGCATCAGCAAACTGATTTTCTGCAGCTTCCATAGTGTCAGATTCGGAATGCCCTGGGTGTTTTAATAATTTGCTAATTATTTACGTAGTTGCATAATAAATAACTCTGCAACCAGTTTTCCATTTTTTTTAATAGGCTGTCCTGAAGAAGTTAAAAATCTCATTATTTTCTTAGCATATCAAAGTTGTGTGCCACTCCAAAGTGTAGCGACTCAGTCTATTTGTTACCTGGTCTTTAGTTGGTTGACAAACTCAGGTTAAGGTAATTTACTTGGCTTGTTGTGCTGGCTTTGTTTCTGGTAAATAAGAGCTTTCAGTTATGTCCACTGTGGCCATTATTGCATATCCAGTTCAGTAATGGCCCTGCTCATCCATGGTGGGACCCATCTA